CCACACAATAATCTAGAGCTCTTGGTTAATTTAATTTGTTGTAATTCTGATCTTGAGAACACATTTTTACCCTTTAAAAGTTTTTTTTGTATTAAAAGTATTTTGTTTGTTTTTCATATATGTATTCTACATATATTTATAACTATATATCTAAGGTCTCTTATTTAGACGGATTTCAAAAAGAGATCAAATTGTGGCTGAAAATATTCCGATACAGACAGGATGAACATAGTTGGTCGTATCCTATACTTACTATATAAGCACGGCAAATTCACAGAAATAGGATTTATATCTTATGCAGTCAGTACAGAAGTCGTAATGGTCTCTAAAGATCAATTCTGTATTGTAAAATCATGCTGCCTTGTACAATCATGCTGCATTGTACAATCATGCTGCATTGTACAATCATGCTGTCTTGTAAATCCTACTAACTTTACAATCATGCTGCATTGTACAATTATGCTGCATTGTACAATCATGCTGCTTTGTACAATCATTCTACATTGTACAATCATGCTGCATTTTACAAAAATGCTGCATTGTACAATCATGCTGCATTGTACAATCATGCTGCCTTGTACAATCATGCTGCATTGCACAATCATGCTGCATTGTACAGTCATGCTGCATTGTACAATCATGCTGCATTGTACAATCATGCTGCATTGTACAATCATGCTGCATTGTACAATCATGCTGCCTTGTACAATCATGCTGCATTTTACAATAATGCTGCATTGTACAATAATGCTGCATTGTACAATCATGCTGCTTTGTACAATCATGCTGCCTTGTACAAGACTGTTTATGTCTTGAAGATTTCTGTTCTAATTTTCTTTGCTTTGGAACACACAGTAACTAGTTTCTGTGTTTTTAATTTTCATAAAGCATATTTATTTGATTAAACCAAACACGAAGGTTTGAGATTTATTTGGTTAATCCAGGAAATTAAACTTTAAATAACAATGTCGTAGATTGTAAATCTTACATTTCTAGATATATAGAGAGGAATGAAATCAAGATCTTAAATATGGTTCCTAGCCAGAGTTTAAAAATTCACGAAAAAAAGTTAAGCACACGCTTTCCCAAAATCAATCTTGTAACAAACCCAGGCGCGTGTTCCAGTTGAGCTTAATTATTTTACTTTCATGATTGTGGGGGGGGGGGGGGGGGGGGGGCTAGACGGCCTGAATCCCCTCTTATTGGGAACAATAGCTTCCCCTCCTATGAAATGATTTAAAAAAAATTATTATTTGGATAAAGAAACTGAATTTATACATAGTTTGAAATTTCTAAGGCCTAAAACATTGGGTTTAAAAAATATAGGAATAAGAAATCAGAGTTTGTGTCAAAGACTCAATTCTAATCCTGAAATCTAGGTTGTACGTCCACTGTCTGATCCTGAAATCTGGGTTGTACGTCCACTGTCTGATCCTGAAATCTAGGCTGTATATCCACTGTCTAATCCTGAAATCTAGGTTGTACGTCCTCTGTCTGATCCTGAAACCTAGGTTGTACGTCCACTGTCTGATCCTGAAACCTAGGTTATACGTCCACTGTCTGATCCTGAAATCTAGGTTGTACGTCCACTGTCTGATCCTGAAATCTAGGGAGTACGTCCTCTGTCTGATCCTGAAACCAAGGTTGTACGTCCACTGTCTGATCCTAAAACCTAGACTGTACGTCCATTGTCTGATCCTGAAACCTAGGTTGTACGTCCACTGTCTGATCCTGAAATCTAGGTTGTATATCCACTGTCTAATCCTGAAATCTAGGTTGTACGTCCTCTGTCTGATCCTGAAACCTAGGTTGTACGTCCTCTGTCTAATCCTGAAACCTAGGTTGTACGTCCACTGTCTGATCCTGAAACCTAGGTTGTACGTCTTCTGTCTAATCCTGAAACCTAGGTTGTACGTCCACTGTCTGATCCTGAAACCTAGACTGTACGTCTACTGTCTGATCCTAAAACCTAGACTGTACGTCCATTGTCTGATCCGAAAACCTAGGTTGTACGTCCATTGTCTGATTCTAAAACCTAGACTGTACGTCCATTGTCTAGTCCTGAAACCTAGGTTGTACGTCCACTGCCTGATCCTGAAACCTAGACTATACGTCCACCGTCTAGTCCTGAAACCTAGGTTGTACGTCCACTGTCTGATCCTGAAACCTAGGTTGCACGTCCACTGTCTGATCCTAAATCCTAGGCTGTACGTCCACTGTCTGATCCTAAAACCTAGGTTGTACGTCCACTGTCTGATCCTGAAACCTAGGTTGTACGTCCATTGTCTGATCCGAAAACCTAGATTGTACGTCCATTGTCTGATCCGAAAACCTAGACTGTACGTCCACTGTATGATCCTAAAACCTAGACTGTACGTCCACTGTCTGATCCTAAAACCTAGACTGTACGTCCATTGTCTGATCCGAAAACCTAGACTGTACGTCCATTGTCTGATCCTAAAACCTAGACTGTACGTCCATTGTCTGATTCTAAAACCTAGACTGTACGTCCATTGTCTGATCCTAAAACCTAGACTGTACGTCCACTGTATGATCCTAAAACCTAGACTGTACGTCCACTGTCTGATCCTAAAACCTAGACTGTACGTCCATTGTCTGATTCTAAAACCTAGACTGTACGTCCATTGTCTGATCCTAAAACCTAGACTGTACGTCCACTGTATGATCCTAAAACCTAGACTGTACGTCCACTGTCTGATCCTAAAACCTAGACTGTACGTCCACTATCTGATCCTGAAACCTAGGTTGTACGTCCACTGCCTGATCCTGAAACCTAGGTTATACGTCCACTATCTGATCCTGAAACCTAGGTTGTACGTCCACTGTCCAATATTCAGTAATGAGCTTAATAAACTGATCAGAAGTTGTGACAAGGAAACAGAATCAGAAATAAATATCATTATCTATCAAAATATTTAAGTTTCTGGTTTTTATTTCTTCCTTATTATTTCAACTCTTTTTACTATTTTTTCTATTGTATATAGTCTTGTCCTGCAACAGTAATAAATTAGGAATATTGATGATAAAAGTGAATAAATGATGTTACAGCTATTCACTGTCCCTTAGTCCCCCCCCCTTTCTTGGGGATACTGTAATCCCCCATCCACGGCATACTACACTGACCAAAATAACAGCTTATTTTAGTTCACAATTGTAAACTTGTGATTTGAAAAAAACTTATTTATAAACGCCGACCCATCCCTACAATATATTCTACATATACAATCCATCCCTACAATAAAATCTTCATATATTAACCATCTCTACAATATAATCTACATATATATTATCCATCCTTATAATATAATCTACATATATTATCCATCTTACAATATAATCTACATATATTATCCATCCCTACAATATAATCTACATAGATTATCCATCTCTACAATATATTCTACATATATTATCCATCCCTACAATACAATCTACATAGATTATCCATCCCTACAATATAATCTTCATATATTATCCATCCCTACAATATAATCTACATATATTATCCATCCCTACAATATAATCTACATACATTATCCATCCCTACAATATAATTACATATATTATCCATCCCTACAATATAATCTACATATGTTATCCATCCCTACAATATAATCTACATATGTTATCCATCCCTACAATATATTCTACATATATTATCCATCCTTACAATACAATCTACATAGATTATCCATCCCTACAATATAATCTACATATATTATCCATCCCTACAATATAATCTACATATATTATCCATCCCTACAATATAATCTACATCTATTATCCATCCCTACAATATAATCTACATATATTATCCATCCCTTCAATATAATCTACATATATTATCCATCCCTACAATATAATCTACATCTATTATCCATCCCTACAATATAATCTACATATATTATCCATCCCTTCAATATAATCTACATATATTATCCATCCCTACAATATAATCTACATATATTATCCATCCCTTCAATATAATTACATATATTATCCATCCCTACAATATATTCTACATATATTATCCATCCCTAAAATACAATCTACATAGATTATCCATACCTTCAATACATTATACATATATTTTCCATCTCTACGTACAATTTGATATAATTCTACATATATCCATCCTTACAATGTAATCTTCATATATTATCCATCCCTACATTAAGAGAAAAAAGGTTAGAACGTTCTTATAAGTCTAATTTAATAACACCCCCCCCCCATCCTCCGAGTTACTTTTCCTTTAAAGACTTTCTTAAGTTGTTCTAGTTAGTTTAGCGTGCATCTCCCTCCCCCACACGACCAGAACATACAAAGATCTAGTTAGTTAAACTCCAATAAGTTCTGATTCAGTGATGATTATTCTTTATAAAATTTATATTTAAATATTTATTTAGATTTTCATACTTTTAGTCTATCTGAAAAAATAAAAAAGATCCCGAAAAATGTAATCCTGTGGTGTGTTTGCTTGCAAAAGGCTCAATTTCTTCAGATTAATTCTGGTAGAGGTGTAGGGAAGTAAATTATTTACATCACTATATTTTATATATTTATATATAATATCAGGATGCGTGCACGGTACTATTTATTTAAGGGTTAACAAATAAACTGACCAGTTTTAAACAAATCAGTCATATGAGGAATGACTGATTAGTTAAAATACATCTGCATGTTCAAATGATAAAATAATAATTTAATAATTCTTAAAATCTAAAACGTTTAAATGAAACAAAAATCTAAAAATAATAAACTCCAACTGATTTTAAGCGATTACTTTAAGTACCGTCCACTTATACAACTTAAAAATATTTTGAACAGTTCTACCATATTTATTGTGTATTGGTGATCGTTTTTAACCATTTTTGGAGGATTTTTTGAATCTCCTCAAACAACTAATGAATGATCTATTTAAAAATCTCCTCTCAGAGTTTCAATTTGGCATAATATAAGAGAATTATTATTTTAGGAAAAAATGCGAATTTATTTTATTTGTTTGTTTTGTTTTCTGGTCCAGGAGAGAGGGGTTCATCCACAGGGAGATGATCAGGTAGACACTAGAACTATACAAAATTCTATCAGAACAGAGTATTTAAAGGAACTGTAGACAATATCATCATTTTTAGTGAACACTCCCTTTAAGTTCCCTTCAATTTATCTAGTGGCATGTCCTATTCACAGCGGTGCCTTTAGACCTTTGTCTGATTATCAACGGCAGAGAAATCCCTTTTTTTCTTGCTAAAAATGTTGTGCAAACTTTAGCTGGAAACTAAGGTATACACATTATATAAATATCAATTGACAATATCTATTGTTGCGAATTCCGAAACAGCATGCAATAAAATTTATCAACAATAACAAGAAATCAGCGAATAAACTAGGATAACTCCGTCATCCATGATAAGGTTTAAAGATTAAGATTATAAATAGAACAACCGCTTTAAAAATGCTGGTCACTTAAAATCATTTCTTTCAGGAATCTTTTTTATTGCTCTTTAATAACGAAATAAATCTTGCTTTGTTGAAGTACGTTATTTGGACAATTATGTTAATATAATATAATATATATTAATATAGTAATATATTAATATAATTAAACTATTATTTTCTTCCAATGTTAAAAAAGAAGATTGGTTAATGTTTTGATTGTGTTTGTTTAGGGAGGTCGCAATGTGATTGGTCAGAACTCTCTAGCAACCCATACTCACTTTACTAGGTCCGGGACAATCATTGGAACGTAAGTATAGTTCTTTTTAATTTAATAATTTAATTTTTTAAGTTTTTTTATTTTAAATTAAAATTTTAGTTTGACTTTGTTCAATAGTTTAATGAATGAATTATTAAAGATAAGTTTTTGTAGTAATTTTCAGTATATTGAAGGGATTATTTGCTATTTTTGAAAGGATTCTCTTAATTTTCAGGATTGATTATGAAGATCCAAACCCAACCCTGACCAGTGGTTCCGCTAACCAGGATTTTTTCTACATGTTCAGGTTTTTTCATTAAATATTTTACTCAACTTGAAGCACACTATAATCTACCTAGAGGGGCGGATGTGTACTGTACAGCTTGCTTTAGCTTCTTAAAAGACGACCTGGTACTTGACAGAGCCGGAGTTTACACTGAGCACGCTCACAGCGCGGCGTGCTTTTTTAATAACCGCATGCTTTATACAAAGGTTCATTTATGCAACGGTATTCTTGATCCTTATCCAAGCCTTTGCGATCCAAGCAATATGTATTTCTGAAGCAAAGAAGAACAAGAAAATTACTAAGATTTATGCCACTATAGATAAATGCGATGATATATTAATTGATGTAAATATATTTTTTCAGGGGAATTCCATATGGAACCCCACCAGTAGGAGAGCGTAGATGGAAAGATGCTGAACCCATTCTAACCTGGAACAGGGAACTAGATGCAACAAGGTATATTTGGAACATAGAACAAGGTATATTTGGAACATGGAACAAGGTATATCTGGAACATGAAACAAGGATTCACGGACATAGCGTCAAACGATCTAGGGTCAAACGACAAACGGTAAAATACGCGACAACAACTTAGGGTTAAAAACATCGACGAACGGGCAAAATTTCATTTGGACAATTTTTGGTTTACTTTCAAACTATTTTTATGCTCATTAGAACTGGTAGCCGCAGTGCTCGGCCCCTTAGCCGTGTTCTCGCCGCTGCGCTCAGCCCAGAAATTGTCTTAACCCAAGCTAAACCTGAATTAATATATATTTTTATGTTATGTTTTATGTTTATTTGAACTACTAGTCGCAGCGCTTAGCCCCCTAGCCTGTCTTATCCACAGCGCTCGGCCTAGAAATTGTCTTAACCCAACCTAACCCTGATATAAAACATAAAATATTTTTTCCCATTTTGATCCTTTGTCGTTTTACTCTTTGTCGTGTTTTTGACCGTTTGTCGTTTGACCCTATGTTGTTTGACCCTGGGTCGTATGACCCTATGTCGGTGAACCGAAACAAGGTATATCTGGAACATGGAACAAGGTATATCTGGAACATGGAACATGGTATATCTGGAACATGTAACTAGGTATATCTGGAACATTGACCATGGTATATCTGGAACATGTAACAAGGTATATCTGGAACATGGAACAAGGTATATCTGGAACATGGAACATGGTATATCTGGAACATGTAGCATGGTATATCTGTAATCTGGATCAAGAAGGAATTGTAATTTTTATCCATTTTACAAGTTCTTGAATTTTAAAAGCTTTCACTATCTTTAACTAAACAAAAGTTTACACCTCTGAACTTCATTTCAATTTGAACTAAGCGCAATAATATATGTATACTCTAATTTTGTAATCCTCAAATCTTTGCAAATTGACAGCGTAAACCTTTGATATTTCCTTATACAAGAATTCATGGTTTGTAATATTAAAAGTCTACGATGGTAATCTTGCCCCACCTGTTTTTACGTTAGAAAAAAAACACCTATTTAAAGTAAAAATTTTCTCAATGTTTATTTTTTTTAAGGCCAAGACCTCCCTGCCCGCGCCCTGGTAGCTCTCAGAATATAGGTAATTCTGGAAATTTCAAAACTTTAAAAATAAACTAATTCATTGTTCATAGGCGTGACAGAGGATTGTCTATTTTTGAATGTTTTCACAAAGAATTTGAACAAAGCCAGAAACACTTTCGATCAGGTATATATCAGGGTATAATTTGTACAATATACACCTAAATCTATAATTTATATTTTAAACAATTGGCTCCAGGAAGGTTTGGTTTATGTGGGAATAAAATTGACAAAGATGTAATTTCAAGAAGTGACCCTTTAGAAATCCGCAAGTCTCTTTTATAAGAGAGAAAAGTGAAAATAATGACATTTTAGAAAGAAAACCAAGACGAGGTTTGTATGACACCTTTGTAAATCGGACATGCTTAACTCGATTTTCGAGGGTCACTTACCAACAGAATTATTTAATATTAAAACATTAATTTTTATAGTAAATTAACAGAAACAATAATCAGTTGATTTAACACTTCTACTTGGTTGCTTAACAAAAGTTATAAAAATTGTAACTTCCATATTTCAGCCTGTTGGTGGTGTGAGCAGTATGAGTTCACGAGCTCAACCTGTTGTTCTTCCTCTCAGGCCGGTCATTGTCTTTCTACCTGGCTTCACTTCAGACGGTCAGTTTAACTCTTCAATGTACATTAAGGCGTTGCATCAATCTATATATAAATTTGGCTTGTCTTGGTGTTTGTTTGTTTGTTTGTAACCGATAAACGTCAAAACGGCTGAACCGATCGGGCCAACAAATTTTGTTGACCCCCGGGAAGGTTTATGGAACGTCAAAATGGGGGGGGGGGGGGAATCCGGGAAAATCGTTTGATTTTTTTAATGCGCCAATTCGAAAAGAAAATCCGCCAATGTTTGAAAATGATCTAAAATGGCCGACTTCCGAGCAACAGTTAAAAGTTAAAATTATTTACAGGAAAGGGGTCCTGAACCGCCCTAAAAGCCTAGTATTGTTAAATGTCGTCTCATTTAATCAGAAAAGACTTGAGTACTCGCAAAAACTTCAATTTTTTAAATTCCATATATATTTGTTGAACCAAGTGATATTTTGTGTGCCAACTATTTGATCTATCAGAATTTCTACATAGTTTGTACAAAGGTTGAATGAAAAAGAAAACAAATCTAGCTCAGAGATAATTCAAAGATTTATGAAATGTTTTTTTATTTATTAACAAATATTTTTTCAATTTTACACTTTTTATATTCAGGGGCCGGGTCTTTTGGTGCCAATAAGCTTATGAGAGAAAACCTAGGTATAACAATATTCAAAAAACAAAATTAAAATCTAATCTAAAAAAGAATCAATTTAAACCTTTTTAGTAATTGTAACTGTTGAATACAGAGTTGGAGCACTTGGTAAGACTATTTACATTTTTTTGACAAATCAACATTTAATCTTTTACATACGACTTATAAGCTTCTACAAAAAAGAAGAAAAAAATTGCGTTCTTAAATAGTATGATGTTAAGTAAAGCTAATTTTATATAAAATTGAATATTTTTATTTTTAAACCAAAAACATTTTTTGGAAATTTATAATTGAGTATTACTTTTAATTGTTGTAAAAATAAAGAACAACATTATTTTTATTACTCACTCTTCACTTCACTTGATCTATTTTCTACCTTCTGAAAGGAATTTTTGACCATTTAATGCATGCATTTAAAAAAAAACTTTACGCGTTCCAATTTAAAAGTTATAATTTGAAAGACGACATTCCATCATTGTGATGTGTACCTGCTCAAAGTTGTAAAGTAAAAAACACACAGCAAAATCCTTATCTGAGCTTTTCTGTTAAAAACATTTTCTTTTTAATCTTCCAGTCATATTCTTTAAAATCGTGATCGTAATTTATCAATTTATTAAATCCGTTGATTATAACCAAGGTAATTATAGCGATAATTGATAACTTAATTTATATTTTCGGATTTATGTATAGGTACGTATATAGATAAAAGTTTAAAGGGCACCCAGGCCTTTGTTAGTCGTTAATACGTCAATTGAATAACGTATATAATCCCTTTAACCGTATATATCTGGTCAGGATTTCTAAGTGATGGTTATGACAGTGTTCCTGGAAATTATGGTATATCAGATGTAATCCTGGCCTTACGGTGGGTTCAGCAGGCCATATCAGACTTTGGGGGGAACCCGAGACAGGTACATAGGAGCAGAGGCGTAACCAGGAGGGGGGCTACGGGCGCTCAACCCTTCATGTACACCCCTGTACAGGAGAACATTACTGAGAAAGAGAATTTAATGAAAACTTGAATCTTTTAAGGCTTCGTTCTTGTTGGTTATTTTTGGACTTGATGAAAACAGGAAACTATTAAAAGAAGACAAAAAAGTTTCGAAAATATTTTTGAAAAGTTTACAATGCCCGTTTTAGTTATTTACAAATATTATTAATATAAGAGCCCAATGCTTTGAATAAATTTAATTTTTATTTACGTGAGTCTATAAAATACAATGCTGGAGCCTAAATTTTTAAACGATTAAATCTTTTAAATATTTTTACATTAAAACTTTATATCAGGGGACAAAAAGAAAATCTGTTTTCAATTTATAATTTTTTTATTAATATGTTCCCCTATGTTGAACATCCTCTCTTTGTTTGTCCATGGTGAATGAAAGCTTGTTAGAAATAAAACTGAAATAGAAAGTCGTCTTCATTGTAATGATATAAAGGCCGACCACAATATTTTAATTAATATTTTAGGTAACCTTGGCAGGACATGGACAAGGAGCTGTGATAGCTCATCTACTCTCCCTGCAGGCTTCATCTTCAAGTAAATATAAAGAAATCGGAAAGGTCGTTGAACTACCTATACTGCCGTTTCAAATCCTGATTACGAACTCAAATCGACATGAATCTTTAACTTTGAATCGGTGATTCAAGTTTTGGACCGGCAGTAGGTTGTTAGATCAGCGACTGGGTTCAAGTTTATTAAATTCGGTCCAGGTTTACATATAAAGGACTAGACTATAATGAAGACCTAAAGGACGAGACTATAATGACGACCTAAAGGACGAGACTATAATGACGACCTAAAGGACGAGACTATAATGACGACCTAAAGGACGAGACTATAATGACGACCTGAAACTCTTGAGATAATGATAAAAAGGTAGAATTTGTTTTTCTGTCATAAATATCTTTCAACGGTATAGAAAATGATTTGGCTGAGAAATAAAAAAGTGTATAATTGTTTAACGAACCATGTTGTATCAAACAAAGCTGAATAAATGTCGTACAGAGCTGTCTGTGAAGCTGAATAAATGTCGTACAGCTGTCTATGAAGCTGAATAAATGTCGTACAACAGCTGTCTGTGAAGCTGAATAAATGTCGTACAACAGCTGTCTGTGAAGCTGAATAAATGTCGTACAACAGCTGTCTGTGAAGCTGAATAAATGTCGTACAACAGCTGTCTGTGAAGCTGAATAAATGTCGTACAGAGCTGTCCGTGAAGCTGAATAAATGTCGTACAGAGCTGTCTGTTAAATCTCATCTTTTGTGGGTGACACTTTGTAGCTGAAGGAAAAAAATAAGGAAATTAAGGGACAACTTGAAAATCGACTATAAGACATTAAACAGTTTTGTTTTTATTTAATATATAAGAATCTTGCCCAACTTCCTAATATCGAACCCCGATAAGAGCAAGGTTATAATGCTAGGAAATTTAATTGCACTTGTGTAAACTCTGCGTACATATTAAAACCAGTTCTCTCTGGGCGGAATTTGTAAACAGTTTTGATAATTTTGATAATTATCATAATAGTTTCAATTGACCAGAATATTTCATTGATTTTTTTATATGAAAGATGGATCCCATGTCAGGCTTCGACATCCGTCTTGTGTTTACATTACCGCCCAGAGACAGTACACTAAAGTATACAAGATCCGTACACCTCTGAAATAACTTTCCTTCCATTATAACCTTGGATATGAGTGTCTTACAGTGTGCATTTGTCTAATTAAAATTGTTTTCAAGAAAAAAATTCTACGTGGTACAAACACTATTGACAGTATTATTTGGATTCTATTCTGTTTAAGTATCGGGTTTGTCCATCGTAACTCTTTCTCCATTTTCTTAAAAAGGCCAAATTACTTTTCTTTGTCTAAAAAATGTTTGAGCAAGAAAATTGTTCCATTTCAAGATGGAAAATCTCAAATTCGTTTCTCTATTTAAGAGTTGCAATAATAAACATGAGTCCGTGGAACAATAAAAATTTTATGAAAAATTATAACAATTGGACGTTAATAATAAACGCACACTGGAAATATGGAAAAGTTTTCAAACTTCTCTATGTTTGTTTAAACCCCCCTGTTTAGGTTTATTCCACCAGATTATCCTACAGAGTGGATCATGCTTCTGTCCGGGCTCTATATCAAGGTTTATATATATAAATAAATACCTACAAAATAGCAGGGCTCGCGCTATTCTGTGATTATTGTTTTATAAATATAAAAAAAAATATTGCTAAAATCAGGTTACCGTAGAATGCTGCAACCATTTTATATTCTGTTGTTTAGAGTTTCACTAAATCTACTCTCAAAATCATAATAAAGAGCTGAACCCTCATTTGGGGTCAAGAGAGGGTTTCTATAAAATTTTTCAGGGGGGATTGCGCCGGTCCCTCCCCATGCAGGACACGAACTGTAGCTCAAGTGACCCGCGTAGCCCGTGGCATTTGAAAAATCTCCATTAACTGGTTGGTTATCTTTGGGATATGCCGCCTATCTTTAGTGAAACAGAGAGCAAATGTAACATTTGTAATAAAGAAGTTACATCTCTCATGTGTGTGTTACAGTTTGTTCCGTTGTACGTGTAGGTAGCCTACATGCATAAACATAAACAACATTTTGCAGCTAGAGCTTTATGCACTTTGCACAGTCAAATGGAACCTAAAAATAGTAGGCGCTCTTAAGTAAAAGGGGGGGGGGGGGTTAAAAAAAATTCTGAAATATTTTTTACGTTGTTTTATATTTATGATATATTTTTTAATTGTTCTAATAACTAAAGTCGATTAAAATACATTTACAAAATCTTTAAGCTCGATCATAAAGAAAAAGTATAGAATTATATGGTGACTAATATTTACTTGAATAACATATTTAGATATGGAGAGAAACCGATCACCTATGGTAGTACAGTTGATGAAGTAAAGGTAAACAAAGTCTTCATAAATATCAAAACTTGTTTAAAAATATAATTTTTCTAGAGCGACGATGAGGATGAAGTTATCCAGCCTTACAACATTTATAAAAAGATGCTTTCTCTTACAGGTAATTAAAGGGAGTGTCTGGCTAGACAAGGCAGTTCAGCTGAGAATGCAGTTTTGTAAAGAAATTTTTTAGAATTAATTTGAGGCCTATCAGACATTTTTACGGTGCATATTTGCTCAGCAAGAGCGAATTAAATGTATTCTTTAAAATTCTCATTTTGGAGGGATGATGGGAATCTTATTTTTAATTATTCATTGGAAATTTGTCAATAAATCAATTATTACTTTTCATCATTATATTAATTTTTTAGTCTTTACGATTTAGTTTGTAGATTTATTCAAATTCATCAAATTCATCATTTAATAAAAATTCCCGGAAGTCTACAGAAAATATTTGTGAACAATGAGACATTACAGAAACCAATTATTGAATAAAATTACTTATTTAATTATTCAGATGAAAAGAGTTAATTTTTATTTTCTTAACCTGTTCCTAAACAACTAATTAGTTTACTGTAGAATTTTTGTTATATTTTTCGTGGTCGTCATTAAATAGTTTTTTAAAAACCTATTCTAAATGTTACCTCTCCAAAATGAATAATCTATGAGGATTTTAAAGATTGAATTTGAACTCTTGCTGAAAAATATGCACCGTAAAAATGTCTGATAGGTCTCAATTGAATTCTAAAAAATTTAACTGCATTCTCAGCTCAACTTTTGTGTCTAGCCAGACACTCCCTTTGAGGGTTGTTTCAAAGCAATCAATAAATCAATTAATTAATTTATCTAACTATTTCATAATTGAGCGAAATCAGATCTACTATTTATTTTTTAGCCGAATAAAAAGTTATCGAAAGTTTTGATTTGGGAAATTTTGCTCATTTAACTGACATCATTGTGAAATCAAATATTTCTTCAGACTATTTTCATTTTCATCATTGTCATTGATGTTATCATTAATTAATCAATATCAGGATGTTCAACACTAAAATGTTTGAAAGACAAAAGTGTTCAAGATATTGTTCGAGCTCAGACTGAAATAGAGGTAATTAATTTATTCATTGATTGATTGATTAATAACAGATTATCTTCTTATTGATTAGAAAGAAATGCTGCACACAAGAACTGTTTTTATCCCTCTTGTTGATGAAACCTTGAGGTCTTCTCCGCTTGTTTTTACTCCCAGGTTTCTTATACACAATTTAAAAAAAAGATTGTTCCCGTTTTTAAAATACACAAAATACTCCCAGTTTTGGGAATTTTTAACACAACAAAGGTTAGATTATTGTTTAAAGATGGTCCTGAGGGCCAGATTGATCAATAATTATCTTCAAAATGACCATTCAAAAACATGTTTTTTTTTGTTTCTAATTCTAAAAATTGAGATATTTTGTATTTTTTTTAAAATAGGTGAACAAATAATCCTTGTAAAGAAATTGAGTCTTTGTCAAAAACCCTATATCTTTGCAACCCAATGTCGTAGACCAGAGATATTTCAAACTTGGAATTCTGTTGATAAAAAAATCTAAGTTTGGTCTACACCATCCTGTTTCAAAGATTTAGGAATTAGAACATCATTTAAGTTTATGGCAAAGACTCATTTCCTAATAAATTTATATTTTCAGTCGAGGTACCCATGGTCCTTCAGCTATTCTTATCGGGACAACGCTTCATGAAGGATATACAATTGCTAAAGTAAGAAATAAAAAACCTGTGAATTTTTCATAAACTAACAATATATATATATATATTTTAGAAATATGTTTCTGATAAGCAGGGGGATATCAGCAGCAAAGAAACCATCCGAACGAAGGTGAGTACGTGTTTAAAGTTTCAAATCTCTCCCGGATCCGGGACGGAAATGTCTAGTTAAAAACTAATAAAGACTTTTGAAAATAAAAGATGGAATCTGGCCTAACCAAACTACGAGCAAACTACCTCTATAAGCTAAAGAAGAAAGTTCGACATACCAAAAACTTATCGAAATCTACTGTTTAGCTAGTTTAGGGGTAGATTTAAACTTAGTTCGGTTGAGCAAGGTTCCAATAATTTCTAAAACTTTTAATGTTTTTTTTTGGCAGGAAAGGTTCCGTAAAACATAAACGGATTCAAATGGATCCGAAAAGTGTAGGAAACCCCCAAGTTATAACTTAAAAAAAAACAAATAACTGAGTTTGAGACAAAAACTCTGATTTTGTAATCCCTATATCTTTGCAACAACCTTTGCTATGTCAAACTGTAAATTTTGTTGGATCTAAGTTTACAATTCACAGGTTTACAAAATTAGGTTGCAAAGATATGAGGACTAGAATATTTAAATTTATGGCAAAAACTGAATTAATTTGATTTGAAGATATTTTTTCTTCAGTTTCTGCCTGAGCTGATGAGAAAGCTTGTCGGGAGAAGAAGAGGAATGCAAAAAGAATTTGTTGAAGTCATCTTTAGGTATTCTCTAATCAATATTTTTAAGAAAAAGTTTATTTTGACAAAACATTTTAAGGCAATACTTCAACGAACTGGTGGACGGACAAACGACTGAAACTATTGGAATTATTGCAAACATGATAGGTAATATTTCATAATTGTGGAATGTAGAATTATTATCAATTAGCCAATGTACCCGGCTTTGCCCGTGGAATCTATAAATCGTCAATCATCATTCGGCAGAAAACAACTTCCTGCAGCGAACCGGGGATCTCACTCACAGAGATATGCCAGCTATCTTGTGTTAACTAAAAGAGCTAAATGTTACATCTTTTATTTATGTTCCTTCTCTCTACTTTGATTGGCTACAGATAAAACATAAACATACAGACATGCATCTTGACATATGTAATATGTTTATTCCGCAGATCCATGCTTTACATACTTAGATTAGAAATATAGGGATACAAACTAGAAACTGTGTATATAAACAATAAACACCAAAAGAACCTTAATTCATATCATATAGAAAAAACATTTTAATATATTTTTATTCTAGGCGATTTTCTGATAAATTCTTGTGTGCGAGAAACTATAGATTTTCATAGGAAAACATCTTTATGTAGAAACAACATTATTTATTAAGAGAACGCACCTTGTAAATTTAATATCATGAAAATTCTCAATTGTATAATTCTGCAGCAAAATCTTCAAGTGTCCTTTGAAGAACAAATTATAAGTGAAAACATTAATTTACTGAAGAGAAAGGCATGAATATCTCATTCAGTCAGTAGTCTTGAACAAACTAAACTTTTAAAAGTAAAGCGGTCGTGTAACTTAATAAGGGTCACTTGATATTGAATTTACATTAAAAATTCCTTTATTCATGATTTTTCAAATCAAAAAGCGTAAAATGCAATTAGAAGAAAATCTCAATTTTATCAAACGTAAAATGTATCTCAGAAAGAAGGGTTCTGGTAGTATACACGCTTACGTCTTCAGGTAATAATTTTATACTTTTAAATCCTTTTAATAAATAATTAAAATTTTAGTTATTCTTCTGATACTGTGAGTATGAGTGGTAATCAAGGATATTCCTCCTCAATGTACAGGTACTTGGTATATATCCTAATCTTTATCATTGTAAATATCAAGGATACTTGAATCCTCAATGTACAGGTACCTGGTACATATCCTAATCTATATATATTGAAAATATCAAGGATACTTGAATCTTCAATGTACAGGTACTTGGTACTATCCTAATCTATATATATTAAAAATATCAAGGATACTTAAATCCTCAATGTACAGGTACTTGGTACATATTCTAATCTATATATATTGAAAATATCAAGGATACTTGAATCCTCAATATACAGGTATTACAACCTGAAAACCAGAAAACTGAGCAAGAAAGGCGACATTAAAAGCAATGTTGAAGTGTTTTTTATGTTGTAAAATTGCAAATAGGTATAAATAACTTATTAAGTGAAGTGGTCTGTGCAAACTGCAAAATTGCTGTTTTCTAATTCTTGAATCATTTAAAATCATTATTTGAGCTTAAAAGTCGTCCTGCTTCTCCATAGTTTTCTGGTTCTCACTGTATATTTTAGTTAACGTTTCTAAAATAATTATTTACAGGGAAGTTAAAGGAATTCAGGAAAAGTTTTACACAAATTATTTACAAAATCTTCGCATATCAGGTCGTTATTTTACTTAATTGTTCCCAACTTCCCTCTGTTGGGGAGTGATAGGTCAGTAATTTTGGTCAAACGGTGGTAAATATATTTGTTTAGGATGTATTCTGAAGCCCCTGAGACTCCAATACCACGTGGTACAGATCTTCATTACCTCTGGACCATGCAGGCCGAGAATATGAGGACTAATACCCCCACCTTGAATACGGAATCAGATCTAAGGTCAGAATGTTGAAAAGTCTGGATCTAAGATCAGAATGTTGAAAAGTCTGGATCTAAGGTCAGAATGTTGAAAAGTCTGGAGTAATTTTCGTTGATATTTCAAACTTTGCGATGGGATTTGTTCTATAACAGTAGGACTGGGCGCGTTCCCACTTTTCTGAAATTTTTCGATCCGTTCTGCTCGTTCCATAGATAAATGTTCGTTCCTGCTAAAGAACGATCGCTCTCCAGGAACAACGCCGAGCCCTTAGGGTTGTACGTGTTCCTAATTTTTTATCGTTCCGTTCGTTCCCGATTTTGTTCCTCTTAAATATCTGAATCCTGTAGCGGCTAATTGTTTAATATTTTAGTAGGTATGATGAAAGGCTGGTTTCCAAGAATATGACCAATATCTGGGACGAATTTGCTAAATCAGGGTGAGAAATGAGAACCTTTGAAGAATCATATAAAATGTTTTCAATGCTAAACCTAAGTGTTAAAAAATCTAATCATGTATTTGTAAGATGAATATCATAGCAATGAAATTTAAATATAATTTAAACTTCTTTCTCCTATAATACTGATAGAAAATAAAGATCTTGCCATGCATGCTGTATGTTTTGACCTTGTTAAACTTGTATTATATTCAGGATTCCATCCCCTGTTAATCACTATGCCCAGGGTCTACCATCAAGCTCTGCACTAGATGCTGTCCCTATTGGTAAAACATGCTTTATATTATCCCTGAGTGAGACCGATACCACTGTGTAGTAGGAAGACGACTTTAAGAATCAAGCAATCATTAAAATAGTCCAATGAACCTGAAACTCAACACATGTTCTGTAAAGCTAAGACCCATTTCATTAAATAAGTTGATAAGTGTCGTCTATATATTTCACAGTTTACGGGTCTCGCTGTCAATTAAAATTCATGATTTAAAAACCCTATTTTAGTTTGGAGCAGAGTAGAGAAGCAAGGTCAAATTGGATATTACAATATAAGCTTGACAAAGGAACCAAACCTGTTCAAATAACCTTGTAAATTTTTTATTTTGAAAATTAAAGTTATCAAATACCTACAGTATGTATATTGCTACTTAAGGACCTTTTCTAATAATATTTGGTATTTGAATGCTGTCTTTATATAATATTTGGTATTTGAATGCTGTCTTTATATAATATTTCAAAGTATTTTGAAGTCCACAAAGTTTTCTTCTATTTTCATCCAACTAAAAGATGACTTTTTTTAAGAATAAAAATAATCTATATGCTGGATCTAAATTCTAAAAAAGAAGCATGCCTGCCCTCAAAGTATAATTTTGTTCTAAGAAAACAGGACGAGTATGTTTAAGGATGGAATGTTTTATGATTATAAAAAGTATGAATGCACCTTCTGGTTAGCTCAAGCTAGATACGTAGAGATTTTATCCGCTAGAATATTCTTGTTTAAAGGTAAATTATTTATGTTTTTCTACAGGGTTATCCACAAAGGATGAAACTTCAGAGACGACTGTAAGGAATTCATACTGTCTGCTTCCGTCCATGCATGATTCTTAAACTTGTGTCTTTCTTTGCAAAATTTTACGAGTTTCAAGTCGTCTTTACATTCTCATACTTTGTGGGTAACCCTGAATGATGATTTAAACTAGAAATGCATGAATGTACAACGTACGTATATTACGTTTAATGAAAAAGTTCTATCGAAATTTGAATTAAATTCTCATTTTTTTCCGATTAAACAAAATTGAAAGAAATACTAATTTAAACATTTGTAATTGTCTTAAAGCATTATTTTACAATTTTGTCTGCAGTGGTCGACGTTTATATCAATGCCATGAAGACGAGCTTTCTATTTTTTCAAATATCTAACAAGCTTTAAAAAAAAACCAAAATTTTAAAATATACATTAAAAGAACCTGATAATTGTCATTGGTTTCCTTAATTGAGTATCTAAGCTGTTTCAAAAATAAAACATAAAGTCATCTTCGTTGTATTGATATATACGACGACAACTGTACTATCGTACGTATCGTATTTTAGCTTATTTGCTAATTTAAATTAAAATTTCACAAACTCAGTAATCGTTGTAAAATCAATGAATGTAAAAGAAAGTTTTATGATAAAATAATTTAGGGTTCATGGTTGCTACGATAGTTTTATCCCTTCTATTCCTGGCTTCCCTGGGAGCCATCTTCTTCTTCGTATTCCAGATTCGTAGGAACAAACAGAAGATGGAGAACGGAAGGTGATGTATGTATCTTATCAAAATAAGCTTGCAATCAAGGTTTTGTCTAGAGGCAGGGTCGTATACAGAAATTTTTCAACGCGAGGGAAGGGGGAGGTTTAATACAACCACAGTTTTAAAATATTTATAGGGGGGGGGGGGCCTGCTTGGAAGAAACTCCCACAACCCCCCTCCCTTGTTTACGCTCCTGCCTTCATAAACAACTGTGGAACATGAAAACGACATTAAATGAACCATCATAACGTATGATGTTCTTTTACCATCAGCTTGAAAATCAACTTTATAAGTTTAATGGGTCTGTCTGAAATTGCTGTGTTTTATGTTAAAATCATAACTTTAGTCTTACAATCGTCTTCCTATTCCACAGTTCATTGGTATCAATGTATAAAAATCACGATTCATTCAATTTTCTAACTTTAAACTGATTAAAGATGTTTGTAGTCGCGGATATTCTGGTTGGTTGGCAAACATGTCCTCATCTGCACCATCTGCCTTAAACCAGTGCTCCTGATTCAAACATGTCCTCATCTATAATAAACCAAGGCTCCTGATTCAAACATGTTCTCATCTACAATAATCCAGGGCTCCTTATTCAAACATGTCATCATCTACAATAAACCAGGGCTCCTTATTCAAACATGTCATTAAATACGATAAACCAGGGCTCCTTATTCAAACATGTCATCATCTACAATAAACCAGGGCTCCTTATTCAAACATGTCATCATCTGCACCATCTGCCTTAAACCAGTGCTCCTGATTCAAACATGTCCTCATCTACCAAAAACCAGGGCTCCTGATTCAAATATGTCCTCATCTGCCTTAAACCAGTGCTCCTGAACCAACCATGTCCTCATCTACCATAAACCAGGACTCCTGAACCAACCATGTCCTCATCTACCATAAACCAGGACTCCTGAACTAACCATGACCTCATTTATCATAAACCAGTGCTCCTTAACCAAACAAGGGCTCCTGAACCAAAAATGTCCTCATCTACCATAAACCAGGACTCCTGAACCAACCATGTCCTCATCTACCATAAACCAGGACTCCTGAACCAACCATGTCCTCATCTACCATAAACCAGGACTCCTGAACTAACCATGACCTCATCTACCATAAACCAGGACTCCTGAACCAACCATGTCCTCATCTACCATAAACCAGGACTCCTGAACCAACCATGACCTCATCTACCATAAACCAGGACTCCTGAACCAACCATGTCCTCATCTACCATAAACCAGGACTCCTAAACCAACCATGACCTCATATACCATAAACCAGTGCTCCTTAACCAAACAAGGGCTCCTGAACCAACCATGACCTCATATACCATAAACCAGGACTCCTGAACCAACCATGTCCTCATCTACCATAAACCAGGACTCCTGAACAACCATGACCTCATATACCATAAACCAGTGCTCCTTAACCAAACAAGGGCTCCTGAACCAAACATGTCCTCATCTACCATAATCCTGCTAGAGTTACAGAACCAAGAACGTCCTGATGTCATGTGCCATAAACCAGAGTTAAAACTATTGTACAGTTTATATTTGTGAATGTAAAATTGATATTAATCAAGAAATATAACAGAAGCAATTGTTTTTTCTGTGATAGGTATGGAATCTGAAATTTGCTTATGTACATTATATGTATAGCTTGGTTTTTATTACCTAGTTAATATTAAAAATATTGTTCCTAATTTCGAGGATAATGAGATCTTGTACTTAATTATCCTTTACTAGACAAACGTAACCTTTTATTCACATTCTTTATATTAAGGACGAGACTTTAACAACGTCTGAAACTCGTAATACAAAAATTTTAAGGTTCAATTTGGTTTATGTTTTTTCAATATTTTTTTTAAAACGAATTTTTTATACTATGAAGTGTCCGTGTACACTGTACATATATTTGGAGATAAGAACTGCAAAATTGAACAATTAGGATATGACTACTTGACAACATTTACAAACAAATTTTGAAATTGGAATCTAAAATCCTGTCTTGAAAGTTGAGACACCAAATTTGAAAACGTAGTGGTCGTAAAAATCCAACAACAGTTGAATAAAGGAATTGGGGAAAGAGAAAAACTGACATTTTAGTGAAAATTGTCAGAATCCCCCCAAACACACAAACGTCAAGATTTTTAAAACTGACAAATGAGCAATATCTCAGTGGTTCAAGGGTCTTCTATAAATACTTCCTTCTATCCTTATCTATGTTTAACTTCATTTCTACTTGCGATGGTCTATTACTAATTTTCCTTCTGTATATTTTGTTAAATTTGGTAATTAATTTCATATTTTTCGCTTTGCTACAATAAAAATTCAGATTACGGAATATATATTTATATTAGTCATTTAATAAAAGACTTATACAAAAAACTATATATATATCGAAGTATAATTTTTGGATTCAACACATTTTTAACATGATTTTGGTAATTTAAATTTTTTGGCCATTTTGGGGGGTCCTATGTGTGTTCAGATATGTAAAATCGGATTCTGACCCCTTAAATCATTATTAATGTAGAAGTGGAAAAAAATTTTTAAGTCAAACAAGGTCAACCTTTTGGGTCGATTTGGAGCACAGTGTTTTGTTCATAGTGTAAAAATCGATTGAAAACGGGGAGTTTTTCATTTCTGAAAGGGAGTGTTCGCGAAAAATGAAAGGGGGTATAGGCTTAATGCGATAAAAAAGCGCTTTTGATCGCTACTAATCTTACTTCTATCTGTTGCGTCTATCAGGAGAAAATTGATAAAGACGTCTCATACCGAAGAGCGTATGAAAATGGAATAAAGACTTATTTAAATTTCAACAATATTTTGATACAGAGCAGTGAATTTATTCTATGGTTGTAATATCTTCTTTTTTGCTGATCATACATGTGTTTTCTGTTCCTCTCTTGTAGACAAAGGAAAACGGTTTTTGACACATGTTTCTTGTTTTCCCTAATATTACGTATATTCAAAGCTCTTTATTATCCACCTCGGAAGAGTTCAGGGATTTATCAGCCGAGTATTCTGCTGTTATATCTTCTTAAGGTTTCAACGCCGCAGTTCCAAAGCATCCAGTCCGCCACTCTGTTCCAACTGTTCCTGGACTGCCTGCTTTTGCGAGAGCTAGACGATTAGATGCAGAGAACTCGAGTCCGCAAGAAAAGAATTTGCTGCTTTGGAAGATGCAGGAGTTATCCGAAGTTCTAGTTCCCCTTGGTCCAGTCCTCTTCATATGGAGCAGAAGCCTGAGAGAGTCTCAAGACTTTAACATATCTTGGAGCCATGCCCATAAATATCAAATTAAATTTGATAGAAAGTTACTGTTTGGTTTGTGTTCAATGCAGTTTCTCTGATTAGGTATATTGTGGAATGCTGGCTGCAGATTGCTGATGCAGCTATCTGATCCAGATTGTTCATATTTATTATATATTTTCTTACAAGTTGAAAAAATAAGTCACTACTAACGGTGTTTGAAAATGTCCAAGGTCTTAATTCCGCCATTTTAATGACAAATGGAATAAGAACGGTTAGGCAAGGAGTGGATATTTTCGACATTTGAACTTTTGATTCTTGTAAGATCTTGATGCTTAAACATAGAACCAGATTCAATCAAAAGAATTTACTTCTCTCCAAAGGGTTAAGGATACTAACCAAAATTGCATTATTCTAGCATGGGTATGCCATCACAATCCCTTCCAGATCAAGTCTTTTCAATCTGGCCTAGTTCAAGCCTAACGCCGGACAAATGACTAAGTTTATTTCGTCAGTGGATTATCAAACAGCTACAAGCAAGTGTTTAAATGCCGAGGGAGTCAGTTTCCTTGTCAGGGTTTTAAACCAAAAAGTGTAAATTTGAGATTCTAGATTTGAAGGCACTTCACCAATTCATCTCCAATAGCTTTTCCCATCGGAGGAGGAACAGCGTTTCCGATTTGTCTGAAAGAGGGGAAATGCTATTGAGATATTTTTTCAATCAAAGAAGGATATTCAAGATAACCTATACCCTTTCAATAATTGAGAAAAAAACTTGATCTAAACGTATAAATATTTTACAGTGTTCCCTCCCCCATAAAAAATGCTTTGTTACCCTCCAAAAAAAAATGCGTTAAGCGACAACAATGAAATCGTCTTATTTTTAGTAGTTGAATAGGTCAATATTTCAATCAATTTCGAAGTTACGTAACAAACAGACGCACATTGTTAAAATTCCAGGATAAACGGCAAATGTGATATTTTTAAAGCCTGTCGTTTAAGTAAAAACAAATTTCCGGGATTGGTATTCTTGGCTTTTTGCTTTCGATGGAATTTTTAGGCCTTACGGAGCTGATTTTAAATTTGTTCAGTGTAAGTACTTGAAGCATTATACTTACTTATGTTTATCTCCGATTTTCCCGTGAAGAGTGAAGGTGTCTCGGAATCCCTGAGATCTAGCGAATTCTCGGACGGAACAGATTCTGTTCTGATCAGGATGCAAAACCTGAACAAATCAATCAATCATTATGTCAACAATATATTATCAAGTAATCAACGAAATACCAATCAGAGATGTTAGCATTTCGTTTGTATTTCCAGTTTCAACGTTTTAATGAATTTAATACTTGTATTTCAAGTTGAGTCGAAAATAAATAAAAAAACATCTTCAAAAATATAAAAATCAATTCACCTTTAAACTTTTGAATATATTTAATCTAGGGGGGGGGGGGGGGTTAAAGAATTAATTTTTCAGTATTACACGCCTTTGGTTGATGTACCTGGCCTCGTGTTCCTGTAGGTTTAGGAGATGTTAAGGTGGTTTTGAAGGTTCTAGTACTTTACCTGGCCTTGTGTTCCTGAAGGTTCAGGAGATGTTAAGGTGGATTGGAAGGTTCAAGTACCTGGCCTTGTATTCCTGTAGGTCTAGGAGATGTTAAGGTGGTTTTGAAGGTTCAAGTACCTTACCTGGCCTTGTGTTCCTGTAGGTTCAGGAGATCTCAAGGTGGATTACAAGGTTCAAGGGTTCAGGAGATGTTAAGGTGGATTAGAAGGTTCAAGTACCTGGCCTTGTATTCCTGTAGGTTCAGGATATGTTAAGGTGGATTAGAAGGTTCAATTACCTGGCCTTGTGTTCCTGTAGGTCCAAAAATGTTGAGGTGGATTAGAAGGTTCAAGTACCTGTAGGTTCAAGAGATGTTAGGTTGGATGAGAAGATTCAAGTACCTGGCCTTGTGTTGCTGTAGGTCCAGGAGATGTTAAGGTGGATTATAAGGTTCAAGTACCTGTAGGTTCAGGAGATGTTAAGGCGGATTAGAAGATTCAAGTACCTGGCCTTGTGTTCCTGTAGGTCTAGGAGATGTTAAGGTGGATTGGAAGGTTCAAGTACCTGGTCTTGTGTTCCTGTAGGTTCAGGAGATGTTAAGGTGGGTTTGAAGGTTCAAGTACCTGGCCTTGTGTTCCTGTAGGTCCAGGAGATGTTAAGGTGGATTAGAAGGCTTGAGTACCTGGCCTTGTGTTCCTGTAGGTTCAGGAGATGTAAAGGTGGATTTGAAGGTTCAAGTACCTGGCCTCGTGTTCCTGTAGGTTCAGGAGATGTTAAGGTGGATTTGAAGGTTCAAATACCTGGCCTTATGTTCCTGTAGGTTCAGGAGATGTTAAGGTGGTTTTGAAGGTTCAAGTACCTGGCCTTGTGTTCCTGTAGGTTCAGGAGATGTTAAGGTGGTTTTGAATGTTCAAGTACCTGGCCTTGTGTTCCTGTAGGTTCAGGAGATGTTAAGGTGGTTTTGAAGGTTCAAGTACCTGGCCTTGTGTTCCTGTAGGTTCAGGAGATGTTAAGGTGGTTTTGAAGGTTCCTGCCCAGGGTATTCTTCCATAGGTTCCACTCCAACTTCCAGGCCTTAACAGAATCACAATTTTTTTTAGTAATACCTTTTTAAAACTTTGGGATAAGTTAATTTAACATCGAAAGCCAGAAAGACTTTTTCATTTTCAGTTTTTATGCCAAAAAATTAAATAATGTCGAATAATTAAAAAGGAAGTGTTAAATTGCATCTCCACAATTTCAAATATTTCCAAAGAAATATAATTAATTAAAGTTTACCTCTTATGAGCCGAATGATGGAGGAACCAGGGAACAATTTTGTCCTTCTGTTGATCATCTGGGTTACAGGGATACTTAGTACCCTTTATACACGCACATACTCCAGGCAACTAAACACAGGTTTAAGATAAAAATATTTGATGAAAATAAACAGGGTTCTGCCTTTCTTCTTAAGCAAAAATACTTACAAATATTTTCAGCTATTTTTAGTAAAATTATTTTAACAATTACAAAACTAATTTTAGAAATATTTAAGAATGGACTTAAATCCATAAATTCTGGAGTCAAATTGTTTTACGTAGTCCTTAACAGGAGCATTCTTTATGGGTGAACCTGTATATAATTAGCTAATTTTGTAACTGCAGTTTTCAGAAAGTAAATACGTGACGTAATTTCAAGTGACACTTCATTTATTGAGTGTAATGTCTGGTTCACAACGGTACCCTCCAAAGCTTGATCTGATCAACAACGCATCAGAAGTTTACAATCTTCTATTTTAAAAATTGATTATTTTTAATGGTTGTACCTCTAAAAAACAACTTGCGGATTCATGTTGTTGCCGAAACAAAAAAAGGAAATTGTCAAAGACTTTTCGAGGTAGGCTAAAAACATTCAGTAAATTTTAACGAAATAACCTGGATCCGGATCCAGATCCATTTTTCCAGAACGGATCCAGGATCCGGATCCGGATCAAAATTAAATGAATCCTAAAGAGCAATGCTTGAAATTATACCTACAGTCTCTTTATGTTTACAGATTATGGTAATCATAAATAATGCACTTACTGTTTCCTTTTTCTTGGTTTTCTCATTGAAGTATGATTTTTCATACGGGAAGAGGAGAGGTTGGATGATTTTTCCACTGGGTAAACATGTTTTCTTGTTGGGTATATCTCTCCAGTCACTCCCTGCCAGGGTAGGTATCAGATTCACTCTCAACTAACAAATTATAATATATAAAAATTGGGAAATATCAAAGAAATGGAAAACATGTAAATTCATATTGAGGAAACATAAGAAATTAAGTTCTTTTAAAATGTTCTTATTTAAACTTTGATTATTTAAAACCTTGTTAATTGACTAGAGACCTTTTTCAAGAATAAGACATAAAATTTAGAAAATAGTAGGAGGACACATCTTTGCCATTTAATTACTTAACTGAAGGATTCTATTTGTTTAATGCAGCAACAAAGTTAAATCCTAAAAATAGTTTTAGGTTCAAGTAAACGTTTCTTTACCTGGTTCAGCTCACTCAGAGGTTTAGAGATGTGTTCCGTTAATCCTTTAGCGTTTTTCCTGAAATATTTAAATATACTGTGGTGTAAGCTTTAATGCGTGAAAAATAGAGATGGAAACGTTTATTAATAAATATTTATATTTTCATAGGAACAACACATATTGTATAATTATAAATAATGATCAAAGATATATTTACACTGAAGGCAGTATTAATTAAAGCTTTTTTAATGAAACTTTTTTAATTAAGGGCAAAAGTGAGATTTTCAAGTATTTTTTATATGGGTGGCCGGCCCCCCCCCCCCCTCCGGTACGCCACTGGTTAAGTCATTTGCTTTCTTCCTGAAATATTAAACCGTTCCGTTAATCCATTTGCTTTCTTACTGAACTATTCTGATATTTGTTCCATTAATTTTGTTAGTTTTTTCCTGAAGTATTTAGAAAAATTATACAATTAATCTGTAATTTTAAATCTTTAATAATTTTATCATTCCTACAACTTTAATCTCCCATCTTACATTCCATACCAAATTCCATGAAAAAATATTCAGAAAGTTTATTAATCAACCGTTATTAGAAATATTTACCGGAAATATTGTTTAACTATATATGATTGCTGTGCATCAGCCGGGTACTTGGATTTCACTTCGGAGTGACCTAAATAGAATGTAATTTAAATCTAGGAAATCTAGGATTAAAAAGATGTTATAGGTAAATACCGTAATAGTACCAGTTTACCTGAAGGTATATCGGTAAATCTGTTATAGTATCCCAGGTGGTATATAGTACCAGTTTACCTGAAGATATATCTGGTAAATCTGATATAATATCCCAGGTGGTAATAGTACCAGTTTACCTGAAGATATAGCTGGTAAATCTGATATATTATCCCAGGTGGTAATAGTACCAGTTTACCTGAAGATATCGGTAAATCTGATATAGTATCCCAGGTGGTAATAGTACCAGTTTACCTGAAGGTTTTTCGGTAAATCTTATATAGTATCCCAGGTGGTAATAGTACCAGTTTACCTGAAGGTATATCGGTAAATTTGATATAATATCCCATGTGGTAATAGTACCAGTTTACCTGAAGATATAGCTGGTAAATCTGATATAATATCCCAGGTAGTAATGGTTCGTCTGGGTGCTCCTGGAGTCGTGAAGGTTGATGAATATTTGATATTGTTAATAGTTATTTCATCGTAGAAGTCCCCAGGGAACATATGCCTAAAAATATAAAATATTCAAACCAGGAAACATATGTCTGGAAATATAAAATATTCAAACCAGGAAACATATGTCTGGAAATATAAAATATTCAAACCAGGAAACATATGTCTGGAAATATAAAACTTTCAAAGTTCTTTTTTGATTCAAAATAGGATAAACTTCAAAGTACATACACAAATGTTTCCCAAAAAATCCTTTTTATTTCCCCCAAAATCACCTTCTTCTCAATATGTCAGAAAAACAAAGAATTTTTAGAGAAAAATTATACTCCCCCTCCCTAGTTCTCTTATTGGATTTAAATAAGAAGGTTCAGAAGTCAGGACAGTGAACATAATTTTAAATAAACCTCTATTAATAGAGGGCATGTCAGATTCAAACAGATACCCTTCTTTAAACCTTTAGATAAAGTCGTTTACTTTCTTGTAGTGTTAAATTTGTCACATTGTCTCTTATGCATGAATCCCCTTTTACAGAGTAAATACAATTGGAAGTATTGTATTGAACTATAATACTATCATAGAGAATAGAATATATAGAGAGGAATTTACTAGAAAAAAGTGTAAAACGGCCATTTTGTTGTACTGTTTCAATACTGCAGGTGTACTTAACATATTTATGCTTTATAACCTGTTGGGCCCTGGAATATCATTTTATAGAAAATCTAGAATTATTGTTAAAAGAAAACCAAATTATGAAATAGGCTGGTTTTATAATTGACCAATGATCATTTCACATAGACTCTATGCCTTCCACTTTACAAACGATGATTTTCCGTTATAACTATAAATCAAATGATGTTTTTTTTATTCACCTAATTCATTATAAAGTTTATTTAACAGTTTAAAAAATTCGAAATTGAAATGAATAGTCTAGGGAACATTCTGTATTAATGTACTCTACTGCATACAATTTGTGAACATTTAAATGATTTGTACACTTTGAACTCCCTTTCAGGCTGAAAGGGACTGAAAAAATTCATACCGAGAGATTCTTTTAATTCCTCTCTATATATTCTATTCTCTATGATTATTATAGATTAAAGTTATTAATATTATAGGACAGGCCACTTATAATAGCATTAAGGGCCAAACAAGATAAATTTACGAAATACAGTGATAACCTGAAAAATTGGAATAGGAAGACGACATTACAGCAATACTTATTCGATGTTTATACAAGTTTTACTCAACACTTTTAAAATCACTAATTTATCGAAATTGGTGTGTTTACACTGAACCATGTCTTATACTAATTAGACTTTTTAAAAGTCGTCTTACTATTCCAGAGTTTTCTAGTGAGGGTTTATCACTGAATATAATAATTTATTATTTTCCGGAAGCTAACCTTGGTTCCGGAAACATTGGCAGGGTTTCTCCAGGTCCTGCTCCGATTACAATTAACCTTCTCCGGGTCTGGGCTACACCATAGTGGCCAGCCTAATCATTGAAGTTTATAATTTTTTTTAAAGTGTTACTAGAAAGTAGGTTCTTTATTACTAAGTAGTTTATTTTAGGTTAGCAGGTAACAGATTTGAGAATGGTAACTAAATAGTAAATTATTAAAGTACCAAGTAGTTAATTTTAAACAGCAACAAATTCATTTTTGATCAGATTTCTGAGAAAAGAAAAAAAAGTCAACTCACACACACTTTGAAGTATTTAAATAAGACAAGGATTAGTAAACTCAAATTCGGGTATATAATTTTACGGGGGAGAAAAAATACACCGCTGCTCAGTAAAATGTGAAGTTAAAGAATAAGTATTAACTAATTAACTTAAAAATTCTATCCTATCCTACCTGAAGGGAGCTGAATGCGACCTGATAGCCAAGTCTAACCAGCGTGGAGAGTATAAGAGTTAAAAACAATCCTCCATCTTTAGAAGCTAGATTTCTCACATTTTCTAATACTACAAACCTTAAATATCAAGCGTTAAACGGGTTTTTATACAATATTTATGAAAAAAAGGGTTACTCACTAAAGACTAAAATTTAGTGACGACTGTACGGAATTTATTCTGAAATTTATCTTTAATTCGAAACAATCAAAACGCTAAGGAGATATCAGGAAAATATTGGCTAGTCTGAACATTTTCTAAAAGTTCGAAGTGTGAGAATCGAAAGATTTCCGCCCTCCGAAATTAAAAAGGAAAAATTATACCATAAGATATTTAACAAATAATAAATTTTTAAATTATCAATACTTATATTATATTATATAATTATATTAGAAGGGTATATTTTACTTGAAAATCATCAACTTCTTAATATGTTTAGGTTTTCCCTAATATGTTTTATGTTTTTAAGATTAAATTAGGACAAAAAGAAAAAAATGTCCAAGGCATAAATAAAATTCAGTTAAAATTAGAAAATAGCCCCCCTCCAGCTCTGAAACTCATTACCTGGGTTTGTAGAAATCAACATAACTGAGGAACGTTGTAACTTGAGAATTCTTCATTTTAGAATGTTGATTGTGACTGTATTTGTTTAGAACACTGAACCCCTGGCAAGGAGGTCCACCAACTATACAATCAACCTCTCCAGGATTAGGTAAACCACGGGTTACGGAGCTGCCAGGATTCTCAACTCTCTCCTACAGTTATCATTGTTAGCAAAATAAGCAAATACTCATAGCTTTAAGAAATAGACCTTATTGCATGTAACCCTCTTATCATAGAGTGGCATGTTGGATTCACAAATCTTTGTCTGATCAAGAATGAAAATTAATATTGTGGTTTCACTGTAACAGTAATATATAGTTAATGCTACAGATTTATACCATTTTAATAACGTAGAAATTACCCCTTATGACAGTCCCTTTAAAGTTGTAATAAATTGTTGCCTTTAACAAAGAAACTTAAATTGTTGCCTTTAACAAAGAAACTAACTATTTTTATAGTAAACACTCTTTCGTAGGATTTGTAGTTGTTAGCTACTAGGTCAGCTTCCTCAGCATCATTTCTAATGCAAAAACTAAATTCTCAGTTTACCTTGAGGAGAAGATTGCAATCATTAATAAAGATCTTGCATCCAGCATGATTTTTCTCAAATGCTCTAGCTGCGGCCTCGTCGACCTCAATCCCCCATAGACACTTGACAGCTCCACTCTCCTCTAAACCTAGCATAAGCATATTCATCTAGTTTTTATCATATCAAACCGTCAGACCAATAGGGGTCCTTTTTCCACATTTTGGCCAAAAAAATATGGGTCAGATTTTTATCAAAAAAATATCTAACACCTTTTTATGTTATAAACGTCAACTAATATAGAATATTATATTGGAGAAATCAAAAAAATCTAATTTTGTTAAAACATGCGATGGAAACTTAAATTTTGGCCCAATCCTTTTGACCAAAGGAAAATCGATTAAACCCAACGCGATGAGGACAGGTAAAGTGAAGTACTAAAGGGACTGTAACGTAATTTTAAGTGGGAATCCATTATTACATACGCATGTTCGATTCAAAACGGTACCCTTATAGCTAGAGATTGAGTGCAAGGAGACTCGAGGATACAGTATACACTGTACACTCCGTGCTAGTGTACACATGCGCGGGTTCTTCAAGATTTGGTACTTTATTTCCCGCTATATAAATAAGAATATCTACGAACTCTTTGATAAAACAAAGGTTTAAAGGGTATCGTTGTAAATCGGACATGCCCCTATGATAATAGAAGGACCCTTGAAATTACGCTTACAGTCCCTTTAGACAAAAATTTCTTTCTTTCAATTTAAGTTTAGAACAAAGATAAATCAGGATCTCTCGTCAAACAAAATAACTCCTTCCATTCATTTAAAAATACCAATCTTTGGTTCCCCTGATTAGTTATTTGAACTGAAAGGGACAGTAAAGGAAAAATGAAAGGGGGTATAGGCTGAAAGCTAATCACTTTAGCTTTTCAGCGAGACCCTTGAGACGCGTATCTGAAGTTCCTGACTCGAGAATTGATATAAAGCTGTTTCAAATTTGTACGAAAATGCATATATATACAATTTCATATAGAAATAGTAGGTTTAAACAGGCCATGTTCAGAAATACAGCAACCAATCTGAAAACGAAGATATCCCAGAGGAAGCTAATCTTTACTTTGATTTTCTTCAATTATAATTTCATAACTTTTATTTTGATTTTAATAGATATAATTGATTTAGTGTTCGATCGTCGCATTTTGTGGATTTTCACAACAAAGACGACCTGCACTCAATCAATCAATCAAGTAAACAGAGATATTTTAGAATAGACGCTATATCAAGATTCAAGAAAAAAATATTGAATTATAGTCTTATTTTTACGATTACGGGAAATTTTATTACAATAAACATTTTTTTGTGATAAATATATCGGCGAAGCGATTGCAAACTTGAGAAAGACATACAGCTGGTTTTACCATACCAAATTATAAACCGTACACAAGATAGCAAAATAATTAAACTTCATTTGACGTGATGGTAATACTGAGACTATAATTGTATTCACTGAATTTTTTAAGATCAGATGTACCGTCTGTTATTGTTCATAATGGTTTTTAAAAATATCTAAAGCTTTATTTTCTGACCTTTAAATTTCGTGATTCATGGAGTACGTTAGGTTTTTCTTATCGAACGATTTTTTGATCATGTACAAAGTTATTATGAGAGGGGGGGGGGAGAGGAGGATCTAAAAAGCGTTCGGGTCCGTC